ATGTGTGTCCTTTCTGTCGTCAAGGACAGCCTCATTCTTGCGCTTTTTCTTGCCCTTTCCCTTGCCCTTTCCTCTTTCTACACTCCGTATTTTACTATTTTCCCTCTTCCATTCTTTGTTTGTCCTCTCTCTGTCTCTTTTCCCTGTGTTTAACACCTTCCCCTTCACTCTGCCTCTCTCACAGCGTGCAAGTGGGCTGTTATGGCATACGGCGATGGGGGCAGCTCGCGCTCAACTTCATCAACGTGGTGAGCCTTGCACGTGAGAGGCACAGTGGAGGTGGAGTTCAAAGAAGAAAGAGAAATTTAATGGTTTCAATTTGCCCTTGCTTTTTGTTTTTGTTTTTGTTTTTCTTTTTGCAATGTGCCCGTTTTTTGTTTTTATTCTTTGTTTTGCAAAGTGCGCCCTTTTAGTTTGTAGTTATGTGACAATATATATATATATATATTTTTTTGCCACAGGTACCTTGAGGGCAGTGGTTGGTGCCTACCTCAGGGTATCAGATGTCGGGCAGTCGCTGATGCTTAACCACAACCGGGGTTAAGGTGGATTATCACTTAAACTGAGCATCGCGCAGACAGACTTTGGGTGCTAAGATGCAAAGTCAAAAGGGAAACAGCCCAGATCGTACGCTAAGGTCCTAAAGCAGTGTAATCAGTTAGGGGATTCTGCAGACTGTTGAGGGTTCAGCCTCCTGATGAATCGGTGAAACTCCGGCAAAACAGTTTGTCACAGCCCCTCGTTTGTTGCTCGCTTCTCCCTCTGTGCCTACGGTTTATATATACATGGCTGTGACAGACCTTTCTTTGTTTCGTGGGTGTTTTGCTTGCTTGTGATGGGGTGTGAACCGACAGTCTGTAGAGTTTTCCATCTGGTGTGGGTGAGTGATAGTCTGCTTTGACTTTTGCCATAGGTACCTTGAGGGCAGTGGTTGGTGCCCACCTCAGGGTATCATTTGTCGGGCGGTCGTTGATGCTTAACCCCAGCTGGGGTTAAGGTGGATTATCACTTACAGTCATAGTTGCAGCGCACCTCGGTGAGCGGATTTGCGCACGAATTGCGCACCGCGCGCACTGCACCGCACAGGGCACCGAAGTGCAGCGCACTGGAAAAATTAGGTCCAAAAAAAAAAGAAAAAAAAGCAGGGGTTTTGTCATTCCTCAGGGGCCCCAACTCAGCAAAAATGTTAAACTCACCGCGCGAGCTCGGAAACCGGCCGCGCCCCCAGCTCAAATTTTTTTTGGGGCAAGGGCTGCCAAATTTCGATTTCAGCGGGCCCTGCCCCCAAAAGTTTCAAAACGGCAAAGCATAAAATAGGGCTCATTCCATTTTTTTTTGGGCGGGGAATGGAAACTGACCTTCCCCCTCCCTTCTGCAAATCCCACACAATGATGGGTTAGCTTCGCAAGAAGGGGATAGACGCCTAATAATGACCTGCCCCGCGAAGCCTCGCAGAAGGCACAAATTGCATATTCCACGGGTAGCCGACCAGCAATATATGCCGAAGATTGGCGTTCAGGTCTGCATGTCTGTAGTTATGGGTTAGGATGAAGATGCCCGTAGCTCTCTCGTTTTTTTTTTGTTTTTGTTTTCTTACGAATAC